CCAACCACATTTGTAGGCTGTAGCTCTCTAAGGCTGGGGGGATCCGTGCTATCGTAAGTTATATCGGACGTGGCTGCGAAACTTCTCTCGGTACGAAACTTCTCTTGATCGGAAGAAAATCGGAGGGATGAAAAAGAAAGAGCGGCAAATCGGAGCTACGTTGTACGTAAGTTGTTTCGCAGCGTTTAAATGCCAGTTTTACTACGATTTAAATGCCAAGCAGATCAGCTGACCTCGTAGTACCATGTCGATAAGGTCGAATTCCCCATACGTCTATAGTGTAAAAGTGACCCTTATTGCAAATAGGCTGTCAGGGACATCTCCTCCTCTGTAAATTTGAAGGGATCATGTGTCGGCATTCCCATGTTCGTTTCGGAGTCCATCTGTTCCATTTGGAGCCCGTCAGTTGGCGTCAAGAGTTGGCGCAGCGAGCGCCCCGAAGACTGCGTCTGCGAACGAGGGTTCGCGATGGAGGAATATTTTAACGAAATCGCCCTCGCTGCAGAAGAAATAGAGGGACTTGTTGAGAAAGAGGAGGCCGCAGTGTGCCGACGACTTTAAACTGTACGCCAACGCCAAGACCAAGGCAATCAGGGGGCGCTCAGATGATCGGGAGGTTTCAATTGATCAGGGACCCACCAGGTGACCAGGGAACCCTCTGATAACCAGGGGTCCTTCCAGTAACCAGGGACTCCTTCAATAACCAGGGGCCCCTCAGTAAACGTGGGCCACTCAGGTTACTGCAAGAATTCAGAATTCAGATTTATTCAAAAGAAGTCCACTCACCATGGCTTTTCACTCTTTCACGTCAGTTACAAGTACAAAAAGGACGAATTTAGGACGGAATTTAGGACGAAGAGACAGGAGTCCCTTATAACCAGGGACCGGCAAGGTCTCTCAGGTCCGTTTTTGACAAAGCTGTTATTGACGTCATATGCGAGCCCTTTGCCACCAGCAGAGGGCCCTTTCAAGCCTTTTTAGGGCCGTTTAACGTCTCTTGAGTTTCCTTTGAGGCTAAGGGCCTCTTCAGCAGCCGAGGGGTCTTTGAGGCCTTTTTGAGGGCCTCTTAACGTCAGCTGAGGACCGTTGGACGCCATCTGAGGACCGTTTGGTGCCTTCTGATGGCCAGTAGATGCCAACTGAGGGCTCTCTGACACCAGCTGAGGGCACGCTGACACCAACTGGGGGCCTCCTGACACCAGCTAAGGGCGCTTTTATATTTGACACGAGCTCAGGGCCCTTTGACGCCCTTTCAGACCTTCTGCGGTCCGTTTGACGCCAGCAGAGGACCCTTTGGGGTCATATGAGGGCCCTTTGCTGCCTTCTAAGCGGCCTTTGAGGCTTTTTGAGGGCCGCTTGACGCCACCTGAGGACCGTTGCGGTTGGACTCCAGTTACGGACCGTTTGAGGCCTTCTGATGGCCATTTTGCGCCAACTGAGGGCCCTCTGACACTAGGTGGGGGCCCTCTGACACCAGATAAGGGCCCTTTAAGGCCTTCTGAAGTCCGGTTAACGCTAGCGGAGGGCCTTTTGAGGCCAAATGAGGGCCCTTTGAGACCTTATAAGGGCTCCTTGAGACTTTTGAGGGCCGCGTGACGGCATCTGAGGACCGTTGTACTCCAGCTGACGACCGTTTGAGGCCTTCAGATGGACTTTTGGCGCCAGCTGAGGAGGGCTCACTGACACCAGCTGGGGGCCCTCTGACACAAGCTAAGGACTCTTTAAGGCCTTCGGAGGGTCGTTTGACGCGAGCTCAGGGCCCTCTGACGCAGGTTTAGGGCCCTTTGACGCCCTTTAAGGTCTTCTGAGGTAGGTTTAACGTTGGCTGAGAGCCCTTTGAACCCATCTGAGGGCCCTTTGAGGCCATCTTGTGGCCCTTCATTTGGCCATCTGAGGGCCCTTTGACACCAGATGAGGGCCATTTGACGCTAACCGAGGGCCCTTCGAGACCATTTGAGGACCCGGTGACCCCATCTGTGGGCCCTTTGAGGTCTTTTGAGGGCCATTGAAATTTCACCACAATACCCCTGGCTGCGCTACTGGGCATTTATGGACTCGTATGGGCCTGCTGGGGAACGAGATGGGCCCTCCCGGTCTTTTCAATCATTATTTCAGTTCATTTTACATGGTCTTCGGCGGTCTAAAGATTAGGGGCCCCAACTCGAATGGGGGGAGGCCCGTGTGCCCTCTCCTGTGTGCGGCCTTGCCGACACTACACCGCTTCCCCTCCCTCCGCCATAAACGCACCGCTGCACTGTTAGGCGCCGACAAATACGGACCGGCGCCGCAACCGGCTCCCCCGCGGCCTGCCTCGCGTTGACATAGCCCTTCCCGAACACCAGTGTAACCCCCACGCGGCCTAGGTATCGCCGCGCCCACCTGTCCGCGGCGCGGCCTCTGATGGCGTATCGGATCATTGATGGTGCGATACATGTTTTGGTCAGATTTTCGCAATTAACGCGAAAAATTGCCCAAAACACTTTTTAATTTTCAAAATTGAAAAAAGTGATTACAAAAATGACGTGAAAGTGACCGTTTTCAACGTGTAAATTTAAAACGCTCTAGCGCAGCCATTTTTGAAGAAATCGACTTCAAATTTTGCACACGTGTTCATCAACCATATTTGTTTAACATATATTTCGGTTTTGTGAAAATTTTGAAAATTTCTTATATTTTTCTCTTGAGAAAGAGGTAAAGCTTCGCTACGATCGGCCTTCCGATCGACCGAGAAGATTCGTAAAGTTAGTTCGTATCTTCACCATTTGCGATACAACTTGCGTATCTACTTAGCCTACGATGTGATGGATCCCTCCAATATCTGTTCCGATTCAACTTACGTTTGATCGCAACTGCGAGGTGCCTTGCGATCACATGGATCCCCCCAGCCTAAGCGTAACGGTGGTCGCCTATGTAAGCCGCTGTCCTGTAAATAAGCGCCCTCTCACCCGAAGGCGCCCTCCTGTAGGTCGCCACCCTGCTACACATTGCCGCCCTTCTGCTGATCGGCGTCCTCATAATTATTGGCGCTCTTCTACCTATTGCGCCCTCATGTGAAATTTTGAAGGCCGCCTTTCTTCCTTTTGGCACCCTCTTGTTCAGTGCCGCCCTCCTACCTATTGGTTCCCTAGTCCTTCCTGTTGAATGCTAATCGGGGCCCTTCTCCTATTGGCGCCCTCGTGTTGATCGCCGCCCTCCTAACCACTGGCACCCTCCTGTTGATCACCGCCCTCCTATATACTGGCACCTTCCTGTTGACCAGCGCCCTCCGCACAGACGCCCTCCTGTTCGTGTCATCCTCTTGAGCAAAGGCGCCCTCCTCACCATTGCCACCCCCATTTTAATCGTCACCCTTCCGCTCATTGGCGACTTGCAGTTGATGACCGCCCTCCCACCTATTGGCGACCTCTTGTTGATCGCCACCCTCCTATTGGTGCTCTCCTGTTCCTCGCCACCCTCTTACCTGGTGGCGCCCTCCTGTTGATTGTTGATCGGGGCCCTCCTACCTATTGGTGCCCTCCTGTTGATCGCTGCCCTTCTATCCATTGGCGCCCTCCTGCTGCTCGCCAACTTCCTACCTATCGGTGCCCTACTGTCGAAACTCGGGATGTTGATCGGGGCTCTTCTACCTATTAGCGCCCTCCTGTGGATCGCAGCCCTTCTACCTATTGGCAACATCCGTTGATCGCTGCCCTCCTATCATTTATTTACTCCTTTGGCATGTTCTTCAACTTAGTCGTTCTATCGCACATAGTTGATGTCTTGCCTGTGAAAACTGCCACAAATGAACGTGCATTCAGCACAATGAATGAAGTACCTATACCTACCAAAACTATCTACGCTCTACGATGCATAAAACACGTCTTTGGTCACTAAACAAACACATCTATACGGATTACTTTACGTGGATAAAACACGGATTGATCCTACTTTACGTGCATCATGGCATCTATATGTATTACGATTAAGTATTGTCAACAGGTTCGGCCGCAACAGCAGGCATCTGAAGTTTCGGTGATTGAAACTGGTTATGTGGGTACACTGTATGCACCTGTGAGAAGGCTATGAAGGCTGGTCTGAGGTAATTTGGATGATGTTTACGCATCTCGCGCTCCGGTATCAATCCGATACGGTGATCTGGTGCGTAGATATGCCACCGCCAATAAACTTTTATACATCGACACCCATGAGCCAAGCTTTCTATACAGTTTGTGTGGCAGCGGCCCGACCAAACCTTAGGTATTTTTATACCTTCAAATTTGGTAAAAGAGCGAGAGGAGCTTTGAACAGTGATCGTATAAAAGGCGTGCCTAAAAAGCGGAGGAAAAGGTTGTTTTCAAAAATTTCGCGCGCCTTCGGCGCAGCATTTCAAGACCACTTGACCTTTTGTGACCTGGAGTATAAAGAATACACACGATGCAAAATCAATGCAGCACGACCTATACGAGGTTACGCAAAAAAAAAACTGGTGGCATGGTAAAAAACGCCTCCCAACCCCCCCCCCCCCCCCGTTGAGTGATTTTTTATCTCGCGACCGTATGGCGCCCTCCTTGGGTGAGGTGGCGCCCTCCAAACCCTTGGCCCCCCCCTTCGCGATTTTCTAAATACGCCGCTGAAGGATCCAATCATCCAGTATCCAGTAGGCAGTAGGGATTCATTCTACATTACTGCACCACTGAAGACGCTACTCGGTAACATCACAATTAATTCAGTAGACGTGCAATGGTAAGTGCTTTCAGTCCACCTTCACGCTAGTCCAGCTGAAAGGGAGTCATTACAAGCGAAATCCGTTCACAACTGAAACAATTCTCACAGCCGTAGGCCCATGTTAACGACACGGAACCTCACCCGGAGGGACCGGGCGCACAATCCATCACAGCCGAGACGAGAGTTACAAAAACAAGCAGTCATCAGCACTGTGTGTTTTGCCGTGCCACCTCACACCACGGGGTACACCAACACGACCCATCGAATCACCAGCCCACCCCGGTCACCAAACCTACTTGGATCAGCGTCCTCGTGCTCGGGCGGCGCCGTGGCCACCGCGTCCTGACGGGTCTCTCCCATTCTGCTCCACTAACACATCACACGCCCACACTCGGCGGCACTCGCGCACTGACCACGCCGCGAATACCGGACCTGTTTACCTCCACCCGGGCCGAGCGCCGCGCGGCCCGGGGCGGAGCCACCGCCACCAATCGGCGCCCGGCTGCCGCACGTGGAGCCGGCGCCGCGACGCAGCGCGCAGGCGCACAGGAAGCGGACCGCGAGCGCGAGCGGCGGGCCTGAGGCCACCGAATCGCAGCGGCCCAGCGCGCGTAGACTGCAGAGGAAGCGTGCAGATGTGTATGCCCGTCTCGACAGAATCAGGACGGAGATTCACGGAAGCGTCCGTTCCGCCGACAATCGCCCGTGAGCGTGACACCGACACTGTCAACACTGCTAAACCGACGATCGGCGTTACCGACGCACGTGCGGATCGACGAACCCCGCTACCGGCTGCGGACACATGTGCAGCTGGGACGGCGAAGGTCACGGACTGCGCACCCACCGACCGGCGCGGCACTTCCCAGCACAGCGGAGGCGTTTCCGGGTCACCCGGTGCTCGGTCGCCATGGAAACGAGCCGAGTCGTCACGTGATGCACCAGCTGTGAGCTTGTCGTCAATTCGAGGACATTGTGTTATGTCATATGTGGAGGGTGCGTACGGCTCTCCAGTAAAAGTCTTGTTGGTTTTGCTTTTTCGGATATATCTGGTCCTATATAATGTTCAAATGCATAAGTATCAACCCGAATTATGTGTATGCACATTTACCACGAGACTGTGAAATTGCATCGTTGTATGCCAAATACTTTCCGAGATATTCACAAAAAACCTCATTTTCTGCCGTTTGGGGTATTCTGGCCGCAATCTTCCTGGGGTCGCCTATGACATCAGTAGAGCCATCTAACGAGAGGAACGCGGAAACACAGAATCATGAATGAATCGAGTGCGTAGTAAACGGTGTATGAAAGGGAGACTCGGCAGAGGCTATCCGGGTGGCCGGCGCGCGGCGCGCCCTCGGGCATCGGCCGACCCTTCGGACCGCGTGGGGTCAGAGGTCGCGCTCGGGAAGTCTCGGCTCTGGATTTTAGCGCTGTGCAGTCAGGAAGGGAGCATAGGATAGCGCTAGCCCGACTGACTAGTATCTCGGCTGATTCGTGTGGGGTGAAGGGAGCACAGAACGGGATGGTGGCTAGTGAGTAGTGGTGGATGATGGGATGGTGGTTAGGTTAGTGCGTACTGCGTAGAACGTAGCTGAACATGCATTTTTTCATCGCAAACAACATGCAGCATAATGTGCGGGATTATGCCAGAACTCATACAAAAAGGAAATAACATTTCGGCCGAGGGAGTGGATAAGTGCCGTGACAAAGCATGGCGATGCTGCCAAAATCGGGATGCTTTTTTGCCCCCATTTTTTTTACCCCTAACATGCAGCGCTTGATCCGAACTTAGAGGTCCCCGACTGACCTTAGACCTTAAAATCGCACCCGGCCGGTGCGCCACCTTTTCTTCAGGATCGCTCTTCTTGGTTGTATCTGTTCTTACCAATAACTAAAGCAAATCGAATGTATAATAAAAAAGGCATACTTCAAACACAGTTTTATTCACATCCTCTCGTGTGCATACTTGTTTTGAACTATACCTTCTCGCATCATAATAGATCACTTCAGTGCTTAACCCTCGCCCCGTTGGGGGGGGCATTTTGGCCCCCCCCCCTGTGGTTTTTCCTGAATAGCAAGGAAGCGGCGGCGCGCAGCGCCGCCAAATTTTCAGTACCTTTCCGGGCATCAATTTGACACCTTCACACCAAATTTCAAGTCTTAGGTCACCTTAGGTCAGGAGTTATTGAGGTCAAACTGAGGTCATGTTCGAGCAAAAATGAGCAAAAAACATGCAATCTTGAAACGCTCACCAAATCTACAGTTATCAAGCAATTTCAAAGTTCTTTATATGGTCTAATAGACAAAAAGCGGCGCTACAAAAATGCTATCTCGGATTTTCAAAATTTTGGGTTTTTGACCCAAAAAATTTCAAAAAATTGATTTTTTAAGAAAAACTAAAAAAAATCCAAAATTTTTCCGAATTTCCAAAAAACCGGAATATATGTGATAGTCCCTGCGCTCTTCTATATACATACCAAATTTCAGATCGATATCTCGTTTTTTGGCCAAGTTATAGCGAAAAAAACTGTTCAAAAATGATGACGTCAATTTTTTGAACTCAATTTTTAGCGATTCCAGACCTCGTACGGCAAAACAAAGACCACTATTGAACTCCCCGTGACGAGCTGCATCGATTCGATACCCATTTTATGCAAAATATCAACTTTGAAATTTGACCTTATTTGACCTGACCTTGACCTGACCTTGACCTGACCTTGACCAAAACGTGACCTAAGCTGGCCCCCAAGGCTGCCTGACCCACATAATCGCATTTGTCATGTAAAATGGACCATAAAACATGTATCACACGACACTTTCATATTGTGACCCCCCAGTGACCTGACCTCAGTGACCTGACCTGGTATCAGTGACCTCAACTAGCAAAATATGTGTTTGAAGAACATTTCCCCATCGATGATTTTCAATGAAATGCATTTTACTCGATTTTACAACGCATTTCTTGAAATGCCTGTAAACGGTGAAAATTGGACCTTTGACCTGACCTGTGACGTCATCGGTTTGACCTAGGTCAATAAAATTGGGTCACAAGGTAGTTCCCTGATAGGGCTATCCAACACCGTTTGCCGCTCTTCGCTACGTTTCGTGGTTCTCGAGATCTTAGGGGGGGGGGGCAAAATGGCCCCCCCCCAACGGGGCGCGTTGCTCGGCAGAGCCCAACGGGGCGCGGGTTAATCCTCAACGGAATTTTGGATTTTCTAGATATACCCCGGCCAAGGGGGGGGGGGCGATTACGACCCCTCTCCGTCTTTTTGCCTCTAATTGAGCTAGCGCCTTGCGGATGAAACTGAGCGGGTGCGTCGTATGAGATGCAGCAACTGGTACCCGAGTTGAATGTCTCAGGTCAACCGATTAACTCTGAGGTCAGTATAAGTGCTGGCCAAGTCGCGGGATCGGTTTTGGTAAACAACTTTACCATAAGTGGTTACAGAGCCAAGACAATGGCACCATCGAGTTTTGCATGCTCAAGCTCGTCGAATAGTATACTCGCATTGTTTTTGTTGAGGTCAATTTAAGGTATTCACCTCAGGTCATGTCAGGGCAGAGCCACTCAGGCCACGAGGCTGGTTCAAGGAGGTCATATCGCTTCTTCGATTCGCTAGGTCCTCACAAGTCCAATGGTGGCTTCACGACTCGCTGGCTCAATTTGATCGAGACTTTTTGGTGAAAACTCCTGTGACCTTAGTGACGTCATAAATGAAGTCGCCTAACTCTAAGAATGGAAAAGTGAATGCTGGGGCTTGCTAAGAAAATCGCGAATTAATGCGCTTGCGACAGCTTTAGATGGCTCCCGGCGCCAAAATAACAGCTTTCATATTTCCCAATTGACTATTAATCGTGAGGTTGCGTGACCGACCTGACTTCAGGTGACTCTTAAGAAAAATACGAGATAGCTACATACAAGTTGTGAGGCCTCTGGGAGATAGTACTAGATCGTATAAGCTTCATTCCCCGTTGAAAAGTCCCCTGGCACGAAGGGTGCTGCGACGTCGCGACTCGCGACATTTTGGGACCTTACAGAGGTTCACTTTTGACGTCATTGGTCAACGGCCAGACCTTAACCTTCGCACTTGTAGGAGGGTGTCGAACAGACCTCCTACCCTCAGTTTTTCGCAAATAACTCGCGCAAAAAAGGCGGCTGATTGCGACGAAACTTCCAGTACCCTCGAGTTAATCAATATTACGCCTACCCTATAATTTGTATGACCCTGGCTTGAAAGACCTTTGACTTGTGACCTGTTTTCCGAGACCATGTTTGGCCGGAATCGCGTTTTGGCGTATTTCGAGTAGAGCGCGTTTTATTGTCTTTTTGTGGCTTTAAGCGATCAATCATGTGAAAGGATGTTGATCCCATGGATTCTAGTGGGTATCAAGGTCACGTGAAGGTCAGTCAGGTCACTGACCTTTGATGACCTTTGTTCACTCTTTCGAGTTCTACATGTTTCTGGGGTAGATTTTGGAGTTAATTTCGCATTTAGAAACCGTTTGAACATTTAAGAAGTAGTTTTGGTTCCCTCGTAACATGTGACCTGACCTGACCTGACCTAACCTGACCTGGCCTAAATGCACGAAAACATCATCTGTGATCAAAACTAACTTGAAATTCGTGATGAGCACCCCGCAAAACCCTATAACAGCTTCACTTTACGAAGCTCTAACAGGTCCCGATTCCCCGACTTTTGAGCTGTTGAACTGTCAACTTTGACAAGACTTTTGACTTTTGACTGGCTTTTGACCTGTCAACCAATGACCTAGGATATTAAAATTGGGTATCATCGGCCTCCTCTCGTCACGGGCAACACGCACTTTTTCCGCGAAACTCTAGCTCGATCAGGGGTTGAACGGCAAAGGGGTCCAACGGACCCTCCTCCCCCTTTACGATAGACGCTGGCAAAACACCAATATGGGCGAGGGTGAAAATACAGCTGCTGTCATAAAAATTCAGCTTGAATCAAAGGTTTCAGCTTGAATCAAATGCTTGCCAAATTTCAGCTGTCGCAGCTATCAACAAAAATAGATATGTGGAGGCGGCACCCGCCTCCCCCCCTCTCGGCCACTGCCAGCGAGGTTTTAAGCCTATCATAGACGTTACAAAGCATCATATCAAGATGACACACGCCAGCAGCCATATGCACTGAACAAAAACTTATTACGCACGCTAGTCTATCGGCGCCATAGCACATGGTCGAGACTGTCGTCAGCCACGGACGCGCACTCGACCAACCATCTGAGCCCGTTGACTGCGGGTGACCTTGACATGTCAAGCCTGATCGGCGGCCGGCCGCTGTCGTGCGGTCGTTACACGCGGAGGGGAGGGAGACACAAAGCTCTACGTTATAGCCGACCTCTGACCTTTCCCTGCGCCCTGGTCACTGACCCCGCTCCATGTCGCTGGGCGGTGGCATGGCGGTGGAAACCGGTTCTAGCCTCTACACATGCCACCATTCTAACCCTCCCCTCCCCACGCTACTACGCGGCGTGGAGTACGCTCGTGCGTAACTGGGCGGAGCAAGGGGTCACACGATACAGGGGCGGAACTGGTTGCCCTCCCGCCCGCCGAGCGACCAACGACTAATACCCTGGAGAACCGTACCTACATTGACGCTGCCGCGATATACTGGCATGGCCGATGTCCGCCCAAACGCGTTGACTCATGAGCAGTGAGCACACCGTCAGCTACGCTCAGGTTGATTCACACATGTTTGACCTTCGCCTTCGGTTCATACAGTGATTAAAATTATCAAAGTTAAAAATAAAAACGACTCCCTCACGTTTTTGTCGACAGCTTAAAAACGCGTCATGTCAGTTACCTGAAACTTAGGTACAGCATA